GTACGACCACACCTCCACGGATTGCCCTCTTGGGGAGGCGAAGGAGAAAAGCACCACTCCATTGTGGGACAAAGCACTCATATCGACCGATTCAGGCACTAGGAGTTCCTCCGCATGACTAAAAAAACACTCACAGAAACAAGTCCTCGAGAAGCTCGTCCACATTCTCTCCCATGATTTCTTCGACTTCCAGGTCTCTCACGTCGATCGTATCGTACACGTCATCGTGCAATTCCAAGGACCGCTCCGTCTCCAAATCTGAAGGAAATCCGAACCTCAATTTCGCACCGATACCAAAACGAACGCAATCGCTTCGCGACTCACTTTCGATGAGGCCCTCGATCCTCTCGAACTCCTCCTCCACGAAGTGGCAGAAGGCGGCCAGGTCGGACACGAACTGCCGCGTCTCGGGCGGCACCGCCGCCGTGCTGCCGTCGTGGAGGCGCGGCCCCGTGACCGCAAGGGACCCGGCCCTCACCCCGAGCCTCACCGTCACGTTCCGGGCAAACGTCACCGACTCGCCGAACTTCACGGGGCCCAGGGGGCTCGCGGCTGCCAGGATGGCGCTCGCCGACTCGGACATTTGGCGGTCCAGCTCGGCGATCTCTCTCTGCGGGGGATAAAAGGATTCGCGTAGGCCGCCTTCGAACGTCAGACCCAAGGGCGAAGTGGCGTTCGTACCTGGAGAGACTGCATCTTTTCGTACAGTGTCCTCAGCGGATGGAAGGATGGATCGACTACTTCTTCGAGTTTCCCATCGATGTGAATGGTAATCCCATACGGTTTAGATACTCGAGACACCACTAGGGAGATGGTGGAACCGTTGCCTGCCAGATGGGTTCCCGTTTCAAGCGACAGGTCGTCACCCTCAAGACAGCTCAGTCCTAGGCGAAATGGTGTTGCGTCACACTTCACACTAATTTTCAGGGTCACAAAAAAAAAATACAACAAACAAAAATGAACCGACCAGTTCCCTCTCGACGATGCTTCCCGGTTTCGTTCTTGCACACGTTATCCGTGACGAGAAAAAAGGCCTCAGAGACCGGGCTGAAGCTAAAAAGTCGGAGCTCTGCAGGGGCCCGGCGGTGACGAATCTTCGCAAGGAGGAGGAGGCTCCCCCCGCACACCGCGAAGGGTACAGGCAAGACCTCCACCTCCCCATCTGAATCTAGGGGCAGGACCTTCACCTCTCCGTCCGGCTTCAGGGGCAGGACCTTCGCCCCGACCGGCCCGACAGGCAGGGTCTGCACCAAGCGGTACTCGTCCCCGCGCCACGCATAGACGGCGATGCCCTCCTTCGGGCTCTGCAGAAGGAGGTAGTTGGAGGGACCGGAGTGGACCTGCCAGGTACGGGTCGCTCCCACCGTGGGGATGGTCTGGATGTGGTCCAGGTACTCGTTCGTGGGGTCGTACGACCACACCTCCACGGATTGCCCTCTTGGGGAGGCGAAGGAGAAAAGCACCACTCCATTGTGGGACAAAGCACTCATATCGACCGATTCAGGCACTAGGAGTTCCTCCGCATGACTAAAAAAA